AAGTAATATAATAACTTAATTTCAAATCTAATAAAGTAAAAAAATGTAAAAATTTAAATTAAGAATATATGAACTAATTCTCAAATAACTTTAAGTTTAAAGAAGATTGGAGCAATTTAACCTTATTTTTTTAAAAAAATAAAATAAAATAAAATTAAGCACCAATCAAATATTAGGTTGTTTGTTTGAATTCATAATAAACCTATAAAAAAATAAAAATAAATTGTGGAGTTTAATTCAAAATCCAACTAAGTGTTAAATGATAAAATTAAAAAAATTATTAAAAATAAAAAAAGACCAAATGCATTAGGCTAGACCTATACACCTTACATTAATTAAAAAATCCTAACGTATTTGGGCCTAAAAATCCATATACTTACCTAGGTTTTAGAATTTTTGTCTCATAAGTTAACAATATATTATCTATTTTAAATTTTATTTTTTTAATTACATGAAATATCACTTGTAATAACAGGCAACCAATTTTCTTTTAGGTGTTAGTATAGAATTTAGTCACCAATAAAGAGAGGGGTTTATTTGTCTAAAATTTTATCTTCAAACTATTTTTATCTAAAAACACTCCATGAACACCATAGTTACCCTAAAACACCATAAAGTTACTAAAAAACCAAAACAGTCTAAATTAAACTCGACCTAGATTTTTAGATATAAAAAAAACCACTATCATCAAACTTCTATCATTACATAGAACTTGTTAACACTAAGAACATAATTTGCATGGCTAAAAAATAATCATATACCAATTTTCTCTTCCCTTTATTATTTTTTCTCCCATCTCTCAAGTTTAGGCACTAAAAGGTTGAGAGAATACACTTTTGAGAGAGAATTAAAATTATAAAAACTAAAAAGGTCATAGAGTAAGATAAAGAAAAGTAGATAGACTAAAGAAGAACTTTTCTTCTGAATTAAGATTAGCCATGAATTTCTTCTTATTTTACACCTTAGTTCTTTATTGCTAAATATTATTAATTTTTTAATAGTTTTTGACAAATCAATAATAAAATTAGGCATAGAAGATCGTAATTAAAAAAAAAATGTTCAAGAACAAAAAATAAAAAAGAAAGTGATGTGAATTGCTATAGTGATTTCTCTCCTTTAATATATTTTGGAATTTTTAAATTTAAAAGGACATTAGTTACTGAAAAGAAAGACATAAAAGATAAAATGTTAATTTATACAATAAGTCTAGAATGATGAGATTAACTCAATATTGTCACGGGCTATACCCCTCATGTGAAGAAATAGTTAAAATATATTAATTAAACAAGGAAAATGATTCTTACTCTGGTGACCCAGAAGACATAGGAACTTTCTTAAACGAAGGAGATGCAGTTGATCAGGGCCTCTCAGTTTTTGAAGACGGTAGATCTGGTGATGCTTCATCAAACCGAGAAAATGATTTTTGCTCTGCTTTCACCCATGCTAGAGCCTCGAAGATTAAACATATATCAAGAACTTTCATTTCGCCTCTTAAATCATCAGGAAACCATGTCCAGTCATCCATTAATCCAAAAGGAAGAAGAAGAACTTAAGAATATTGCGTTTTACAAGGTGCTTTATATTCCTGCTTCACATTAACCATCCCATGAGATGAAAATGCAATATTTTAGTTTAAGAACAAGAATTTTGAAATTAAAAAAAAAAGGACTCTTTTAAATCCAGCCCGAGCCCATTATGATCAATAATAAAACCAAACTTCTTAAGCCCAAAAAGAATACCGAGCTCTTTTAAAAACCATGTAACTTGTTGAGAGTGGGATTTGAACCCACGCCCTTTCGGACCAGAACCTTAATCTGGCGCCTTAGACCAACTCGGCCATCTCAACCATTGTTGTCGTGTAATTTATATAATTAGTTATATTTCTTTTGAAGATGAACTAGCGGTGCATGGACTTGAGCCCTGAAGGAATCACTGAGTCCACAAGACAGAACCCATTGGCCGGCCTGAATCCCCTACGAGCATAAGCTTTTTGTTCCTTAGCCTTTCCAGCAATACTGTTGCATGGAACCTGGCTTATAACATGAGACAAAGAAAAACAACATTCAGCTGCTTCTTTGCCATCTTCAGCTTCGTTTTAGAATCTCTCTCTTTTCCCCTTCTGCTTTTTGAAGTTTTTTAAGGGCAGGGCTGTTGAAAATCGAATGTCATGAATCTTTTTCAAATATTAGGAGAAGTGGGATCTCCTCGGATTGCCAAAATACCCCTGTCATTTTTGGCCATGTACTTGTAAAATATTTGTAATTATATATTAATTCATGTAAAAACTATAAGCACCAAGAACATCATAGATGTTTCTGGTAATATTTCTACTCTGCTAGGTGCTGCAAATGAGGTTGACGCTTGATTCCTTCGAACAAGTAACACCGTCTGGAACGTCTCGCAATGCTCCACCTGTGCTTATTTCTCCTTCCCCATAATCGTATGTTGTGCATATGAAACCTAATTATGTCGTTGATGGGGCTGTCATATTGTTCATCTAAGAAATTGCTTTTTTCTCATATGTTATTTACGGGTCTTCTAGGAAATGGGTTTTCTATGGTCGGAATGGATCTTGAGTTAGATTCGAGTAAAGGAACTGTTTTGTTCTCTTAATTGTTTCCCTGAAAATCTCAGGTAAAACATGTTAGAATGGTTTTTTTTTTTAAAAAAATTGATTTTAATTTTTTATATATTTTAAATAATAAAACCGGTTAATATATTTGTTTAATCCATATAATAATATTTTACTTGGTTGGTTAACATGTATGTATTAGTTTGGAGGTTGCAGCAGGTTTGAGAGTTGAGGGAGAATATTGTTTTTTAGATGATAGGCTTCTTATTATTTGTATTTAAAAAAAAAAAATGGAGCAGACGAACCAAAAAAAAAAAGAAGAAGAAGAAGATAGGCATGGCACTTTTCTTTCCTTTTCTTTTTTTTCTATGATTTTTCTGGAACTTAAAAAAAAAACTAAATTCACTTACTTTTTTTTATATGATTCTTAAATACTATTATAAATACTTTAATATTTTTTAATTATTATATATGATATGAAAATAACAATACTAATAATAAATTGTTCATGAAGTTTGGATTCAAATAGTTTTTTTATTCTTAAAATTTCTAAATAGATTTTGAACATAATTTTATTATATTTATTATTTTTTAAATTTTCAGTCACACATAAAATATGAACATGCTACATTGATATCTTTGTTTTTTTTAAATTGTTATAACAATCATAAAGTATGTTTTTTTAACCTAGACAATGATTTTACTAAAAGAATATTGTACGTGGTTGCTTTAGATAAACTAGAGATATATTAATAAAAAACTTATTTGGATGGAATTTTTTTTAAAGTAACTTTACTTTAGGGTTTAATAATAGTGTTAAATAATTCTCTAATACCTATTATTATTTTTTTATATATCTTTTAAAAAATTGATACATACAAACTAGCATAAATAATATATGGACCCGTAATAAGGGCGACGTGTCCCTTAAGCAATTTTCTTTGGGTCCATCGTTCGATAGCTACAGTGATGGAAAAGTCCAGTAAAGGAATGGACAGACTCTAACAGCCCAATGGCGGTCAAGGTTTTTCTGGAGTGGTGATGCGATCAGTTAAGCAAGGGGGGAGGGAGAGAGAGAGGATGGCGAGAGGCCAATCAAAAGCAGACAATAGTACATGAGCACATTAAAGGCAAGCCCCTCCCGGCCCCAACTTGCAGGAAAAAAAAAACAGAAAGAAAAAAACCTTTCTTCCAACTTGCAGGAAAAAAAAAAACAGAAAGAAAAAAACCTTTCTCATTCAAATTTCAAAGTGAGATCACATGCAAGCTGTACTCATCTCTCTCTCTCTCTTTTACAGCAAAAAAAAATTGCAACTTGCTTGAATCTTTGAACATTTTGTTGAGTTATCAAAGTCAAGTTGCAGCTTGACAGGGCAGCAGCTCATGACGGTTGATTCCCTGCTTCAAGTTACTACTATTTTAATGCATTATGCTAGCTTCCACCCCCTTGGAAATGGAGTTTTCTATCCTGGATAACAATGGATACAGAACCCATCAATATCCTCTCTCTCTCTCTCTAAGCCCATCATGATAGCTGCTGGTCCCTTTCCTTGGTTAACTGGCACCGTGCACGTTTTTCTCGTAAATTAGATCTTCATCAAGCTCTAATATATCCCATTTTAACTAAAATGGTGTCCCTGCTCGTATTAACTAAAACCACCCCATCTTCCAAGTTTAAACAATAAGAATCCCAGCTAAGCATGTGTGCGCCATGCACCATGTAAACGCATCTTCATAATTAAAAGTCTCTTAGAACATAATCATGCGTGCTATTACAGCTAGCGACTTGTTTTTGCTGCTCATACGAGGTTTACCATCTAGACTATAAAATATTAAGGAAGTTGCTGCACCTTTTACGGCGGTCGGCAAATGGGAATTCAGATTTCCGGTTCTTTGTTTCTTAATCTGTTCTAAACAAAGCAAGCTATTTTATTTCTTCTCTAACCCCTGACAGATTTTACAGTCTTCGGGTCGTAATCCATACCCGAATAAAATTGTCCAACACTATTGTCATCCCTCTACACCATCTTCTACAAGTGATATTTTTATTTAATCGGATTTTACACATCACGATCACGATCCACCTGATCAGGATTGAAAAAAAATTATCTCTTCACGCACCAAAGCCATTTTCACTATTATATTAATCCCACCAAAAACAACAATGATATTTAATTATTACGTAACTATCATCGGCGTTAATGGCAGCGAAAAAAATTACCAAAGAAAGCAAATTTTATTTATTATTGTTTTATTTTATTTTTATAATGACACTTGACACAAGCACCGATATTGATGACGGAGCTAATATTGGTGATTATGTCAACTTCGATAGAATATTTCAAGAAATGCATTATAGAAATAAATAAATATCATTTCACACAAAATAAGGCTAAACAAAAATATAACAACAGCGATAATAATAACACAAATCAACAAACTAGGGGTGTTGAAATTATCATTGGCAAACCCACATCGGATTCTCACAAAACAAAAAAGAAGGTGTTTTCACCAAATCATACATTTCCATTTGTAAAAAAGAAAAAGAAAAAGAAAAAGAAAAACCCTAAATGTATTTATAGCAACAAGAGTAACAGTAAATATTTTATCATCACTCACGATGATGATTTATTATTGCGTCTGTTCTTGTTCTCCGCGATCCGTGCCAGTGACTGGAGGTTGCACCGAACTATGGTATCTACAAACACACACGTGTCCTCCTTAGTATTTCCCGGCGGAATATCTACCACGTAAGACTCCACGACGACGGTGCCGTTGCCAGTGGGTGACGCATGGAGAGTTGTAACCGACCTGTAGTTCGCAAGTCTATGGTCCCCACCCACAACGCTAAAACTAATGACATGTCGTTCATGGTCGAGGATCTCGAGGCGTTCGGTGCTATTAGCAGCTGGGAGACCCGAGATGACATGGACCTCACGGAGAGTACCCACGTCACCGTCTCCGAGGATGACGTGGCAGCTCTTGACAAAATGTTTATAAGCTTGTGGGTTGTCGAAGTGGCGAACGACAGACCATACAGTGGAGACCGGGGCAGCGATTTGTTGTACCACGGCAGAGCAGCACTGGTTGGGGCCTACAGCGTGGGCATGGTAGCGTGAAACGGTTTCTGGAACTGGGGTGGTGGCGCATGTTAGAGGGGACCACCGTTTTTGGCATGAAGTTGAGGTGGTGGTATTAGTGGTGTTTAGGATGGTGTTAGTTGTGGTGGTGTTGTTGATTCTATGGATTAAAAGAGATGATTTTGGAGGATTAGCAGGCATTTTTTGATTTCTTGTTTGAAGTTTTCGTAGTGATGATTTATGAGAGGTACTGTGGTTTTTGGTTTCTTGGAGGGTTTAATGACTTTTGGAGGGTTTGTGTGTGTGTATATATACTGAGAGAGGAGATGGAGATGGAGATGGAGAAGTTATCGATCACTTTCCCAACTCTGTGAGAGGCGAGAGGGTACTGGTGATGTTATGCAAATGGTTCGGGAGAGTTGAAGGGCTGATTGCGTTGGGTTTTCTCATGGAGAAGGTAGTTTAATAAAAAATGTCATGTTGTGAGAAATAAAATAGTGCTACTTGGTGTGTTTAAATTACCAAAGTAACCATAATTTTGAATTGAACTGAATCCGTAGCATGTCCTAAAATCATGATAAACCATTTTATGAAGACTTTCCAGCAAATCCAAATTAATACTCGTATGTTTTTTTTTTTTTTAACAATAATTGCCTGATGGCACATGGGTATGATGAAAATATGAGATATGTGTTGGCCCCGTGAATTTTAATTAGATTTAAATATACATATAATTTTTCACCTAAAATCTTCATTCTCGAGTGTATTTTTCACAATGATCCTAGCTTATAGTTGCTTATTGTTTATCTTTCATACACTGATACTAGCTAATCCCAAACAAGGAAAAATAAAGCGTTCTGAGACTGATAGATGATCAAAAGTTTCAAGGTGGTTCAGGATGCTGTTTCTCCGTATAGAAAAAAGAGCCCTACCAGCTAGCTCTGCTAACAATACCCACTACCCGGGCGATTGAGCAAGCAAATACCCATCTTTCCATGCACAAGGGCTCCAGTCATTTTCACTCCCTCGCTAATTTTTATTCTCGCCGAAGGATATGGCAGCTTTGTGAATCTAGCTAGTAGATATTCAAGTACACATTGCCACTCTCGCTTCAAATGGACGATCCACTTGCTGCAAGGATAGGATAGGCCTTTCTCTTTTGTACAGACACAGACTACGGGCCAATAAGCTGGGGATGTTTTACCTTCTATGTTATTGAAGAATTTATTTGTTTGCTTTTATGCTTTAAAAATATTTTAAGATTTTAATTATTTTTTTAAATTAATATTTTTTAATATTTTCAGAGATATGCTATATTAAAGATAATTTCTTAAAAATAAAAAGTATATTATTTTAACATATCAAAAAAATACATTTTAAGAAATAATTAATAACACACTTTCGAACCTTCCTAGCTGCGCTGCTTGCTATTCCATGCCCCGCCAAAAATGTTATACCGTTTCTTTTATCACTTTATGATGCTTTTACGTGACTCTATCTATCTTGTGTCTTGTTTTCAAACACTCAAAGAACCAGACTTGGACGCCTTTTTCTGCTGGTAAACAAGAACAAGTTGGACCCCTTTAGCACATGATCCTCAGCTACCATGCCATGCTTGCCAGTGGTCTGGGACCCATGAATATCTGGGTCGTGGGATCAGCATAGTGGCATTAATGCCTGATCATGGGTGATTAGAGATTAATGTCCATTAATTATCATATGTCCGATCCCTTCTTAGTTATCTCCCCACTTTACTTTCTTCCAAATTAACTTTAGCCCACTTGTTCTTTTCTTTTCTTTTCTCTTAGTTTTCTTTCCGATCAAGTATCAAGATTTGTTTCTTCTAGGGTTATTTAATCTTATCCCTCTCTAGATATTCCCTGATCTCACCGGCTTCTTTCCACTTGGTATTTATAAAACACCTGCGACCATGGTGGTTGCTAGTTGCTGTTGGTGTACATGTAACGATGAGACCACTTCAAGGTCTAGCTAGCTAGCTAGTTTGTTACGATCAAAAAGTTTACGTAAGTGGTGCAGTTAATATCAACAAATATATAGAAGAAATATTTATACTACGCCCTTAGAGAGTCATACAACTAAAGAAAATTGAATTTTTTGAGTATAATTTATTGGTATGTATAATTATTTATTATATGTTTGGCATTGGATACGTTGTATCCAGCACTATTGAAAGGAAAATGCGTGCATAATTCAGGAATTTCTTTAGGAAACAAACCAAAACCAAAAACAAAACAAAAAAGGAGAATAAAACATACTATGACATTACATAGCATCATTGAAGAGAAGGTACGGTGATGCTCGGTATAAATGGACCACATAACCGGTGATTTTGTTAAATGACGAGGAGTCGCTGCTAATTGTGAGCAAATTATTTTTATTTAGTCCCTATATTTTAAACTCAGTTATTACTCAGACCTTTATCTTAGAAAACCTATAACTTAATCTCTTCAGTCTTATTGAGCTTTGTCTTGATAAACATTTTTTGTTGTTTTTATTTTTGTTTGTAAGTCCCAAATCTTCCCATGGAAAAATAAAAATAGCAGAGGTTATTTTAAAGATAAAACAGGATGTTTTAATAAAATATGGTTTTTAGAAAAATATTACAACATGGTCAACGCCGTCATGATGATGGCAGTTACTACACCTTGAGAGATGTATTTCCTTTTCTTTTCATTTTTTTCTATGGAACTAATATCCCTATTTATTAATTTATGTTATGTATTTAACATTTTATGGTTTTTTTATTAATTTATTTATGTAAATACCAACTTAATGTAAAATTATTTATCCGTCAAATTCAATTTCCCAGGTATACTACAGTCTCTACAGTCGTGCACATATATGCAATACACGTCATTATCGTTTATATTTCAACATGTGATTAACAAATATATATATATATATATATATATATATATATGTAAAATCTTGTATTAAAGTAAATATTACAAGAACATAGGAATCACAATTCCATTAACTAAAACAACTCTGTAATAACTAGGACTACTGCAGTAGGTTCTTTTCTAGAGAATAACTCAACAACAGATTTCTAGGGAATAACTTACGATTTTCAAGAGATAAAAATATTTCACAAGACTATCTTTGTGTTTTAAATCATGGGCCCCACCGTTTTTTTTTGACACTTGACGGGTCCATGTTCCAGCACCCTTAATGTTTGGGCCATCCCATGCATACTATTGTTCAACCCAAAATCAGGCCCATATTAAGGTCCATGATGAGGCCCATGATCTGATTTGTCCTTCATATGGTCTCGACACAAGCATGAGACCCGAGACAAGGTCCAAAACCACACGAGGATTAGAGACCCTGAGTCCATAGGATGTCTTGTAAAATATTTTGTCGAAAACAATTATATGAAACAAACAAAGCGGTAGGTTTTCATTTTTGTTATTTTTCAATATCAATTATTTTTATCTAATTCAGCACTACACTATAACACATATTTTTGTAGATTTGATAAATTTTTACACAAATATAATAAGACTGAGATGAGATATAGTGGTTATAATTTTATTTTTTTTCAAGTTTTGATAATATTAATTTAATTTTTTTTGATAACCTGAGTCGTTCGGATCAATTTACGTGCATTACGATTAATTTTTGAATTTACTGAATATTCTATAAGCACAATAAACATATAAGATAACACGGGATGACAAAGAGAGATAAGAATGCAACTTTTCTTTGTTAAACTACAACCTCAATTGCAATAATTTAGATATTTTTTAATAAGTTTACAAGTAGTTGTAATATATTTGATTTTAAATAAATAAAAACATAAAAATTCGATTTGGGCTTTGGACTTCTATTTGAGAACGGGAACAAGTCTTGTAATATTTAAATCTTTGATACAAAGGGGATGTGAAAGGTTGAACAGGTTAATATTATAACCTCAATAATCGGGTTTTATTAATTATAAATTTGATTTTTTTTAGTATGGTTGAAAATTTATATAATTATTAATTTTAAAATTTATAAAATTAATTAAAATATATACATTTTAATCAGAAACCAATATTAATAAAAAAATAATTATAAAATCGTTATTTTCTTTCATGAAATCTAACCTTCATGCATGTCTTTCAACATGGGTGAGCAAGAGGCAACCTAGCCCTAACCAGCTTGTATATGAAATTAAGAATTTCTATGATTTTTAATATAAAAAATATATCTAGGTACAGGATAGAATTATCGATGAGAAAATTATAAATTCCAAGTAGCTTCCTTTCTTTTTGTCACATCTTCGAGTATATATTATCTATGTCCAAAGCATAAACCTTGAAATAGCTAGGAATGGAATGGAGAGTGACTAGACAGAAGTAGAAGATGCGAGGCCTTTTTCTACCTTTAGGGTAGTAGTTTTTTCTATATGGGTATATTTTCAATATGGATAAAGCTTACATCCTTTTGGATTTCATGAAGTACCTCAAAAATTTGCATTTGAAAAAAATTAAAACAAGAATTCATGTGCCTCGTGTTTTGTTTTCATACTTGAATAATTTACATAATTTAAGAATATAAGTTTATATTATCAAATATCACTAGTTTTATACAAATAAGTCTGTTTAATTTAACTTAAAATTTACAAGTTTAGTTAACCTATTTTTTTAATGCAATTCATGCTATTAATTTTTTTTTTCAAATTCATTGATTTTTTAAACATTTTTATTCATAATTATAAAATTTCATTCGATTTAAAATTTGGATAACAAATTAAGCAAGTTAATTCATATGTATCATAAATTTATTTAATTTTTTTTAATAAAATAAAGTTGTTTTGATTAATTTTTTAAAAAAAAACTTAATTTTTTTATTTTAAACAAAAAATATTGATCAAATCTCATCTTAATTTTGACCAGATTAATTTTTTAAATAAAATAAAAGTAAACCCGACTCAAGCACACATTATTAGACTAGCTTTGATAACCATGCTTTTGTCACTAGTTATAAAATCACTAGCGAGAGTGTGGATTACTGGTTTGACTTTGATAATTATATTTTATTCCTAGTTATGAGACCTTGTCATGCTCGGCAGATCAACTTGGTAACCTTTGCTAGGGTAGGTTAGCGAATAAATCTGTTTTTATATTAAATAAACATAATCTTGATATTTTTATTCTAGAAAAAGTTAAATGTTAGGTAAACTTAAATCAACCCTCGAGCAACCCAAACTTTGAGTCATATCTAGGAAGTCATATAACCATGCTTTTATTGAAAATAACTTATAGTTAAAGTTGAAAAAAAAATAATTATTGCTATAGAAATTGATAAATTATAAAATAAATTTGGGATGGATACTAAGGGGCTGGTAAGTATTGGAGATATACACCATTTTTTTTTAAAAAAAAAAGAAGAGAAAAGAAAAACATAAAAGAGAGTTTCTTGTTCATATTTAAAATTCTCTATATGGAAAATTAGAAAAGTGTGTTTTCCAATCTTCTGTTCTTATTCTTTGGCTTGAAAAATATCTTCTTCTTCTTCTTTTTATGTTATCCAACCTTTTCATTATATGAGGCTGCATTTTCTTTGTGAAAACTCGTTTTTTTATTCCTCTTTCATTGTTTTTGCAAATTTTTCTTTACAAACAATCTCTTCTTGCATGATTTAGATTTACTTGGCTTTTTTCTCCATCTATGTTTGGTTGTTAATATTTTAAAAAGATTAAAAACAATATTTTTTTAAAGCATGGTACAATTATTTATTAAGTTTAATTTTGTGATTTGTTTTTTTAATATTAACTTCATGATATCATAATTACATCTACAATTTCTTTAAATCTAGCTCTTTTTTAGATTCGAACTGAATTTATTTTAAATTGAATTTAATTTGTTGTTTTTAGTTTTTATCAGATATTAATTTGAAGGAATCGATAAGTAAGGCTTAGACAAATGGCTACTTTATGGCAGTTTTATAATTATTAAATGGCAATTTATTTTTTTAATAAGATAATATTTGATTTTATAATAATAATTAGTTTTAAATGTTTTAAAACTATTTTTTATATTAATATATCAAAATAATTTTAATAAAATTTATTTTTTAAAAAATTAAATAGTAAAAACAATTATCTAAAAGGATGTTCGACAGAGTAATTATAATTATTTTTTAAATAATGTTTTATGTTAAAATATATATATTAATAAGTTTTTTTATTTTTAAAAAATTATTTTTGATATTAGTATGTTACAATTATTTAAAAATATATTAATTTAAAATAAATAAAAAAATAAAAAGTTTTAAATTTTTTTTAAGAATACTTTTTAAAACGGAGAAATGAATAGTTATTAAAGGGGCGATGTGGTAAAATACTTTGACAAACTAGGCAGAGTGCATTGTAAGTCTGCCACGATGTTGACGTGGCAAACTCTTAGCGGCTAAACAGATAATAGGTTACTTCGCAACGACGTAATTTTTCGCTCTTTAATTCCTGCTCTCTCTAAGAAAACTTTTTAGAGAGAGAGAGGGGTAGAAGTCTTGGCTTCGGTCTCTAATAGATATCGTTAAACAGTGAGAAATCTTAAGAACAGATAAAGCACAAATGGATGCGGTATTGAACAAGGTTGGCTCTTATTGGCTCGGTCAGAAAGCTAGCAAGGAGTTCAATTCTGTTGGCGACGACATCAACGTATACGTTTTTCCCTTTTGTTTTCTTAAATTCATTTTGATGATTAACAAGTTCGACTAAGTTGCTTCCTTTGTTGATTAGGTTATGATTTGAAGATTAATTATAATTCCCAGGTGTGAAAATGGAATTAAGATAATGATTGTTGCAATTAATTATCAGAAACATAAAAAAAGAATGCAGGGTTTGTTTGGAAATATATTAATAGAAGAAATATAGGGTTTTGGTTTTTTACTAGAGCAGATTAAGAATGGTAGCTTTTGATGGAAATTGAAGAGGGCTGAGTTGGTTTAATTCCTGTTTTTATAATGCTTGAGATTACTGATAATTGCTCTTAATGTTTGGATTAGCAGCTAAAGGAACGATCGAGCATGTGGGATTCTCAATGATGCTGCTGAATTAAAGATCGAAGAACTAGTTTAGGCAAATATGTCTAATCTTATCACATTGTTACTTAGTAATTGACAGCATGACTTGTATCATTGCGATTCTCAAAGTTACTAGAGCTGGAATATTGACTAGAGTTCATGAGTAGAAGTTGGACTTTATGAAGTGTTAATAATCTTGTATGTTTATAATATTTTGCAGAATGAAATGGAATATGGGTGTATATCAGGTTTTAGTTAGACATACTAGAAATGATTTTTCTTTTTACTCCTAGGTGGGGCCGTAATCTAATTAAGTTTATCCTTCATAACAATCATTGATTCATATGAGCTTATTGCCTTTTGTGCGCTCTGCTTTCCTCTGAACTCTGCTGTCATTGCCTCAGTTACTAACACATTTTGCGTGCTGATATCCTTCTTTTCTTAACCAGTCATTGTCAACGAGCATTGAAGGTGGAACCAAATGGTTGGTAAACAAACTCAAAGGTTTGTTGACTTGTTCATTTGCTTTATTTTTCCTGTTTTGCCACATGGTGTTTTGTAGTTAGTTTGTTTTGTTTCTTCATATGTCTTTCCCACATCCTGATGATTCTGCAGTTCTGTAATGCATTTGTGCTCAAACAAATGCACTATAGCTCCAAGTTTCTCTCAAGATTCCTGTCTCAAAAATGTTCCCATAGATTTAAATCCAATTCCCTTATGGGAAGTTCTGAAGTTTTCTAACTATTTGGGACCTTGAAGTTGGAGGCCAGTTAATGCAATGAGAAAAACTCATATCTAATAGCTTGACTAGAATTTAGGAGCTCATCAAAATGACACATCTATAACTTGAATGAAGTAAATTTGCAACTGTTCTGGTTAATATGAATTATTTACTACTGATTAAGGCTAAGTTAAAATACTGCTGTGATATTGCTTTAATCTGCTGGAATTCGGAATAATTCAGTTGATTAAATTGAGTAGATGTCCAGGAAGTTTCCAATCTAGAGCCTATCATTATGCAGAGCCATTGTTATCTATATTATGATATTCTGAAGATCCCATTTGTTGAAACTTCTTGTTTTGCAGCAGTCTACTGCTTAGAACTTTTAATTGCATCTTTATCTGCTACTTTGATCATTATGCCACTATTTATATAGGAAAAATGCAAAAGCCGTTACCAGATTTGCTTAAGGAGCATGACTTGCCAATAGGAATCTTCCCTCGTGATGCAACCAACTATGAGTTCAATGAAGAGACGAGAAAGCTTACTGTCTTTATTCCCTCAATCTGTGAAGTCGGCTACAAGGACTCATCTGTTGTGCGTTTTTCGACCACTGTAACTGGGTATTTGGAGAAAGGAAAAATAGCTGATATAGAGGGGATGAAGACTAAAGTGATGATTTGGGTTAAAGTGACCTGTATTGCATCTACTGGATCAAAGCTCAACTTCACAGCTGGGATGAAGAAAACCAGAGATAGAGGGGCTTATGAGGTTCTTCGAGATGGAGTGGGCGTAGATAAGTTCTGAAGTGGTCATAACACTTCAAAGGTATTACTTTTATGAGCTGTTACTCCTTAGTCATTGCTGCTAGACTGCCCTTGCCTTCATCTACTGTAATTACAATGACAGGTTGAATTAAATTTCACGTGCTTCCTTTGGTCATAGATGTGATACGTGAATTTTCTTTGTTCTATGATTGATTAATATTAGCCACCCTTACCTTTTATGCATTCCTTTCTTGATGAAGCAAAGGTTTGTGAAGGAATTGCTGTTGTCAAAACTAAAAATGTCGCTTTCAGAATGGTAAAACCAATAATTGCTCGTTTATTGTGATATGGAGTTGTAGCCCTTGAGCTAAGATACTAGTCATGGTGTATCATATGCTGAAATTAGGCTTGGAGTCATGCATATGGAGATATTTTCCAAAACAAGGGGTGCGAGAGGCTATAGGGTATGTGAATTATCTGTTTGCACATTCGACATTCTATAAATTTTGAGTTGAATGTTTGTGTTTTGGAAAAATGAGCTGTTATTGTCTAAGCTAAAAGCTCATCATCTGGCAGCATTGACACGATAGTGGTAATGAAAGAAGAATAAAAATTTCTTTGAACAGTCAAGGCAGATGTTATAGTTTACAAACCTGCCACTCGTACCGCTCACACAGCTAGATATTGTAAGAGTTTTGCTACAGGCTACTGCAGCTGCATGTAACCATGGATTCTAACCATCGGTACAAATCATGCATGATGGGCTTCGCAACTTGCATTCGTGATTCGTATGGATGGCCAGCATCCGGACCTGACCTAGGCAAAACTTCTCAGTTCAACTGCCTCTCCGCAGAGCATTCTGGTGGCCTGTGTCTGTACAACGAGTGGCAAGACTCATTTAAATTGCCACTGAAAAACATTCTGGTGACCTGTTATCTGTAGAACAGGCTTTCTGCATGGTGCTTAGAGTCTCTGAAAAAAGAATTTCTCACCGTCCGAGAAATGCTAGGGAAGGGGGTAATAACTCTTCAATTTTTCTTTAATTCGACAAGAATCTGTCCACAAAGTAAAAGAAACACAGAGCAAACCCAACACAACTTGGAATTGGATTTATAGTCCACTAAATAAAATATTTAATAATAATTAAATTATGCTTAATAAATAAATTCAAATAAATAAAGGTTGTCATGATGAACTATATTCATACTGGAAGTGTCTTCATCAACTCTCCTGAAATAGAGAAGAATTTTATCTTGTTGAGTTTTGTTAAGATAACTTTAATAATACTTTTAAAGATCAAGCTTATCTGTCCACAAAGTAAAAGAAACACAGAGCAAACCCAACACAATTTGAAATTGGATTTATAGTTCATTAAACAAAATATTTAATAATAATTAAATTATGCTTAATAAATAAATTCAAATAAATAAAGGTTGTCATGATGAACTATATTCATACTGGAAGTGTCTCCATCAACTCTCCTGGAATAGAGAAGAACTTCATCTTGTTGAGTGTAGCTAAGATAACTTCAATAATACTCTTAAAGATCAAGCTTTTATGATGTTTTTCTAGTAGTCAAACTGTAGTCCCAAACATGTCATCCTACCCACAAAATTAGATTTGTCAAACTTTATTATCTCTAGTAAAAATAACTTTATATCTAAAATAACATTAATATGTTTTTTTTGTGCAAATGAAAAAGATGATAGAGTTAAACTTCTAAAATAATCATTATGAATATGTTGTTGTCATTTATATACAACCAAGTTCTTTATATTAGAAGAAGAGTTAATACTAAAAGGATCATCATGAAATTAGAGTGTTTAGAAAGACAACTATCTTGAAACTTTTCCAACATCACATTTATCTTTTTAGGTGATTCTACCGGATAATTTCTTAAAACTTCAATAGCTTGTAAGAATATGTGAACACTATTCAAGATGATTCTTTCTCATGTTGCCTCATGTAGTTCTACTAGAAAGCAACTAAGATGGATTACTCATTCGAGTATAGCTGACTAATATATAAATTATAATGATGAAACAAGCTTTGTGCAAACCTTGATAGAAAAAAAAAGTATTTTTATTTGAACATACAAATAAAAGATCTCATTCCCCGTGATATGTGTTTATTAAGGCTATTTGTTAGTTCTTTGCATTTTATATAGCATCGAGGCTATATAAAACTATCTGAAATAAAACAAACTTGGCCTGATAATAATAGATAAATCAAATAAAACAAAATTGATCCAAGTTAACTTGAGTTATGTCATGAAACTCATGACTCAATACCAGAGACTAAGATAATCCAATAAAAAGATAAAATAAAAACATAATTATAAAAAATGATCTAAAAAAATAGTAATTCAGACTAATCTTTCAGACTTTTAATATGAGTTATGAGGTCAGAATTATCCCATAAAGACAAACATAAAGAAATCATGAGGCTAAATTCTTGATCAATAAAATATTAAGCAATGAAATTAAAAAAAAAATCAATAAAAAATTAATCTAAAAAAAAAGAAGCTTCAATAATACAAACAAATCCAATCAAGAAAATGATATAAAAACAATAAAAAAATAGAGATCAAATATAACAAATAAAAAACATAAAAAAGGAATAAAATTAAAAGAGATTCAAATTCCATGAATTATTTAGAATAAAACACAAAGTAATAAAAATCAAAGAAAAACTTAACAAAATTGGTCACCGCACCATGTGTTGTTTGAAAAGTGCGTACTTGTTTTTTAATATTAAATAATATTTTATTTATATTGAAATAACCTACCTGTAAAATCCCAAAAAAAAAAAATTAGTGAAAAGATAAAGAAACCTACATGAGATTAAGAAAATTTGAAATCAAAGGTAATTAAGTTTGTAAATAAAAAGTCTAAACAACCTTTTAATTTCCTTTTTTTTTTTTACTTTGAATGATATTTTAATTAATTTACTGTAAAAAAAGGAAATCAAATCTAGTTATTTTAGTTACTACTTTTTGAAAAATATATCCAACGGGAGTTTTTTACTTTAGTCTGTGTGGACAAATGTAGCCATTGTATATGTTAAGTTAAAAAAAAGTATCTTTACCCAGCCCACGTAACACGTGTATGCTGTGTTCGCCTTCGAATCCATGTTTCCAATTCGGTGGAATGTAAACTATCAAATGTTTCCATTTCGGTGAATTGACAAAATGTGACGATTAAGGGTAAAATTGATCAAATGATTTTTGCAGGGGTTTTTTTTGAAGCATTGACACAAACATAGGAACTAAATTAGGGGATTTCTCCAAAAAAGAGTTTCCGGCACTCAAGACAACGAAACACGTCCACATTCAAAGTTTCCGGGCAGTGTGCGAGAACAATAACCTACTCTCTCAGACCTCTCTTGTTAGGACACGAGGCTACTCGAGTTTTCAAATCTAGAGGGGAGGAGTCAAAATTCATACCATTCTCGATCTCGGACCGCGAGTAGAATCAAATAATACAGTCGAGCGAGTGAGATGAAAAGATAGCTTTTTAAGGATTGTAAGTTGGCAGCGTGGAACGAATTATAAGGTTAGATTCCATTCACACAGGATAGACCACGAGCCTTCCACACGCCCTAAACACGTGGCTAAATCTAAACCCTCCATGCCAACTTAATCCAACGGTATAAAAAAAGCCCATCCAGCCTGGAACACCCTCGTCTCTGTATTTAAGCTATCCTCTGCAACTCCAACTTCAGCAGCCACCAATCTCCATTTCCATTGCAAAAAACCTCTCTGAATTCTGAAACCCATCTCTGTTTTTCTCTTATTAAGGCTATGGCAGCAACGTTTTTGAGCCCTGTTCCGGTCTTTTCTCTTGCAGCAAAGCAAGGGGATACTGCTCGTGTCCTAATCACTAGTCCTACAGGTAATGGGCATAGCATTTCTTGTTCTTCTGTTTCAGCCTTGCCTTCGGCTTCGAGAAAGAAAAGAAACACCAGTCTTGTCGTTTCTGCCACTGGAGAAACTCTTACTGGTGTTGTTTTCCAGCCATTTGAAGAGGTGAAGAAGGAGGTCTTTGTTGTACCCAATTCTCCTCAAGTTTCTCTTGCTCGTCAGTACTTTGTGGATGAGTGTGAAGCTTCCATTAATGAGCAGATCAAGTCAGTGATAACCTTTCTCTTTCCATTTTTTCATAAAAGATAGAATCTTGTGGACTCATTGGAGATTAGTGTTATTGATATGTGTCTTTTTTTTTTTTGTTAACAGTGTGGAGTACACAGCTTCCTATGTATACCATGCCATGTTTGCCTATTTTGACAGGGATAACATTGCTCTCAAAGGCCTAGCCAAGTAAACACACAAAATCCATCCGTTTATTCTTGAGTATTTTCTTTTCTTTCTTTTAATTTTAAGTTTTGAATTATATCAACTGAAGTATGGTATGGTTATGTTGTGACTTGTAACCAGATTCTTCAAGGAGTCGAGTGAAGAAGAAAGAGAACATGCTGAAAAGCTCATGGAATATCAGGTACCACTTACTTTGAAACTCAAATATTCCCAGATTAAAATATCTTGGTTTATCTCTTTCATTTTGGTTATTTTTTATTATTTTGTCTCATCATTCTCCATTTATATGTGATCAGAATATACGAGGAGGGAAAGTAGTACTTCACTCTATACTGACACCCCCTTCTGAATTTGAGCATGTTGAGAAAGGAGATGCATTATATGGTATGTGTCTAGACTCATGTTCATTGTTAGAAATTGCTATTACACTTTTTTTTTGGATTTTGTCTACAATTCCATCCATATTTTAATGTAGTGACAATATGGCATTGTAAGAGTATAATCTTGTTTGACATTTTTTAACTTCTTCTGGGATCTTTGTTATGCTTTCCGCTATATAGAGGTGTCAAGGCATGCTTCTGTAATGGACGATTGAGATAATTAACTTGGGCTGTCTTTGATCCTTTGATTCAGCAATGGAATTAGCATTGTCTTTGGAGAAGTTGACAAATGAGAAACTGCTGAGCTTGCACAAGGTGATGTTTCCTAGTTTTTTCTTTTGTAAATAGGAAATAGTAAGCACTTTCTTGCAATGAATAACTGGAATTGTCAATCTTTTTTACAATTGTGCTCATGAGCTATGCCATGTTCTTGAAAAATATTAGGTGGCAGACGAGAACAATGATCCACAAATGGCAGATTTCGTCGAGAGCGAATTTTTAACCGAACAGGTGAGCTCGAAATTAATTTTATTTCTTTCCCCTGGATTTTACACAAGACTTTGAACTCTTGTATGATCTAATCCTGTGAGGTAGAAATTAAGATTTTCAGATTACGCATCTAAAAGCTTTGAGTTTTATGAAGTGCCAG